TGCCTCAGTTCTTGGAGAATTCTGAGTATTAGAGATTTGAATTCGCTATGAGGTAGTTCTAGTGCATTTTCTTCTAGAGGAGAGTCATCTAGTGTTTCATTTTGGACGCCTCCTGGAACCATCCTGTCCTGTGTTTGTAAATGTTTTGTTATTGTCTGCTGTCTTCGGAGCATTCAGTAGTTATTTTTCTCGCTTATTGATTGTAGATTTGTTTGTTTCATCCCTTTTTTTAAAAAAAAATTTTACTATATCTGAGCAGGCAGACTATGCGTTCTTTGTTGTTTGCTCGTCTGTGGGCACAATACTTTCTCCTCCTTCTTCAACTGGCAGGGTCAGTCTCTCAGATATTGTATGGCAGGGCAGGTCTTGCCGAAGAGGAGTTACTGGAACGGGTTCTTTGTGGCTCTTACTACAGCCACCAGAGCGGGTCGGTAATCAGTGCAGGGCAGGTTCCAGTAGTCCGTGCCTGTGCTGCTTGGGTGGTGTGATGTGAAGCGCACGGTGCAGGTTGGCAGGATGCAGTGGGGAGATTGTTATGTGTGAAGCTAAGATGGATATGGGAGAGAGGAGAGAGGAACAGGAGCCAAAAACATACAAACAAATAAAAAAGAATGCTATGGGAGCTTGCCATTGGATTGGAAAAATGAGAGACTATGAAATGGAGAAAAACAGAAAGGGGAGGAGGAAGAAAAGAAAAGAATGAACAAATAAGAATCAGAAAGGTTAAAGAACGGCAGAGTTCCTAGGGATCCCACTGGTGCAGCTATGAGGTCTGGGGAAGTCACTCTCAGGTGTTGCAATACAGCCTGGCTAGAAGGCGTAAAGGTATACAATGCCAGGTATTCAGGGAACAGAAAGAGAAGGAAGATATAGAGACACGAGAAACTGAGCAAGGAAGAAAGACAAAAAGGGAAAAGGAGGAAAAAGAAAACAAAACAAATTAAAAAAAAACAAGAAAGGCCCCCAAAGAAACAGAAAAAAAAAAAGCAGCATAAAAAGAAATGCCCTCAGGGATCCCTTTGCATGTCTGTGGAAGCCGAAGGGGTGTCTCCCTGCCACGCAGCTCAGCCTGGCCAGAAAGGGCTCCCAACTGAATAAAACGAAAAGAATACAAACAAACAATTCAAAACAAATAAACGAACAAAAGCCCTGGGATCACACCAGCGAGGCAGCCCAGACCGGGAAGCAGCTCCACACTCGAACGGAGCTCTGCAGCCCCTCAGGAAGAAGCAAAGATGGTGCACAGAGCCAGGTACTAGAGCGAAGGGGGCGGGAGGTGGCGAGAGGCAAGTAAGAAGTCAAAAGAAGCAGAAAAAAAGAAGCAACACTAGCAGCCAACAAATGGCACTCAGAGAGCCAGCTAGTGCGGGTTGGTGTTTCTGGACAAGAGACTGTGTCCGTGGGAAGCAGAGGGGGCCGAGTGTGGGTGAAGAAGGGTAGAGAGTGGGAAAGCATATATCACAAATTACCAGAGCTCTGCAGCCCCTCAGGAAGAAGCAAAGATGGTGCACGGAGCGAGGTACTTGAGCTAAAGGAGGGGGAGGTGGGGAGAGGCAAGGAAGAAATAAAAAGAAGCGGAAAAAAAGCAACACCAGCAGCCAACAAATGGCACTCAGAGAGCCGGCCCGTTCGGGTGGATGGAATCGAAGCAGCCGGTGCTTCCTGGACAAGAGATTGTGGCCACGGGAAGCAGAGAAGGCCGAGTCAGGGTGAAGAAGGGTGGGGGGTGGGAAAGCGTATATCACCAATTACCGGTTGTTTTGTCTCCCGCTGGAAGCTCCATGAGGCTGCTTTCTCATACCCCTTGTTTGCTGGTTTCCAATAGGAGTCCAAGATGGTGTATCCGCGCTGCGTTAGCTAGTAGGGGAACTCTGCATGAATCTCTCCTTGCTGTCTGTCCTCTGTCAGTTTTCTCATTCCATTTGGTGCTTGGCTGAGTTCTTTATCTCTTCATTTGATGTTTTAGGGTTTCAGGATTGTTGTATTCTCTGTTTGGCTTAGTTTTTCGGATCTTTGCTGTGGAGGGACGGCGTGGTGCCTCTGCCTAGAGCGCCATTTTGCCAGAACTCTCTAGGGGAACTGTTTTTAAGTCTTCATTTAGGGCTGAAATATATTCTGGTCTCAGAGTTACTGATTTTCCACATAGCATTTATTAATTGTGACAGTTTGGGAAAGCAGAAACTCAAGTCTCTGGTTTCTGCATAAAGGCCCCCACAGTGTCTCCACGCCCTGAGGTTCCTTCTCACTGGCACCCAAGCTGTGCTCCGACAGATGGAGAATGGGACCCAGAGCGGGGTGCAGACCTGGGACAGACTGCTCTGACCGTGGGCAGAGGCCTGTGTGATTGACGAGCCAGTGGTTGACCAGTGAGCTGCTGCCCAGTCAAGTCCCAAAGGAAATGAGCTTCCAGGAAATATTTGTGTTTTTCTAGCTATATTCCTATAGTTCTCCTTGTTAATCAAAAGCACTTCTAAGCTGTTTTTTCAAGAATGAGGTTGTACCTGTTTTACTCTTTGACAGCTTGATTCAGGTTTGGGTTTCTCTTTCTCTCTTTTCTATTTCCCAACAGATGTGGGAGGAGGCCATCGCCTTGGGCAAGGAGCTTGCTGAGCAGTATGAAAACGAAATGTTTGACTATGAACAGCTCAGTGAACTGCTGGTAGGTCTTTATTCCTTCCATTTGAATGAGCACGGCGATCTCAATTTGGTTTTCTGGAATTTCTCTTTCCATTTTAATGTTGTGATTCTTCTTCTGGCCATGGCCGTGCTCATCCGCCATTTTGTCCAGGGAAGCATTCTTAGTTTATCTCCTGATTGACTCTGGCCCCTGAGTATCCACTTTTTATTCCTGAGTCAGCTTTTGTGACCAAACTCAAAGAATTGTATGAACAATTTTTATGTAAACAACTGCTGACTGCACACTTACAGTGTTCTTGGTGGCCCTAAGTACCTAGAGTCTCTGCTGGTTTAAAACTGTGACCCTCTACAAGACAGCGTGAAGAGGTAAGAGCCCAGAGCGTTTTTTTTTTTTTGTTTTTTGTTTTTTTTTTGCCATGGGAGCTCAGTGACTTTCTGTTTCCTGCCATTTTAATTCCATTAGTTTTGTGCTCAGCAAATCTATCTTAATAATGAGTCTAGGTGGTGCAAATAGTATGCTATTGTCCGCTAACCTAAAGGGTGGCAGTTTAAACCCACCCAGTGGCTCTGCAAAAGAAAGTCCTGGCAATCTGCTTCTGTAAAGATTACATCCAAGATACCACTACAGGGCACAGTTCTACTCTGTAACACATGGGGTTGCCATGAGTTGGAGTCGACTTGACAGCAACGAGAATGGGAACTTTAATAATGTTTACCACTAATTTAGAGAAGAACAATTTCTGTTCCTTTAAATTCTTCTTTAATATATCCTAGTATCTGATCTATACTCATTTATTAAATAGTAAAGTCCTACCATCTAATCAAAAGAAAAACCATATTTCTTTAGTTACTGAAAACCCCCATAAATTACAGCTGGCTGCTGAATTTAGCTTTTTTGGCCAGATGCCCTTACTGAGTGATGGAGGGGGCGTGAAAATAGAGCCAAAGATAGGTTGTCAGACTAAATTCAGATGCCTGCAGCAGCACCACCACCCCCCGAAGCTTGAAGATGCCACGAGAAGAATCCAAAAGAATGGATGCTCAAATACTCTATCCAAACCTGCAAATGCATTTCCTTTTCTTTCCTTTCAGAAAAAACAGGCGCAATTTTATGAAAACATTGTCAAAGTGATACGACCCAAGCCTGACTATTTTGCCGTCGGCTACTACGGACAAGGACTGCCTACATTCCTTCGGGTAAGTATCAGTTGTGCTTTGTGTGAGCCGAGATCACTCTACAGGAGACGGGACCTTCCGTTCCGAGGAAGGACTTGGACTTGGTGTCTTCTGATTCTTCCTTCTCTGATAGCTCTGTGGTTCACGCGGGTTGCCGGACAGAGGCTTGATAGTATTCTCTTTTATTACAGATACCTTGTCCACCTGATGCTTTCTAAAAAGAACTCTGAGATTTATGTTTATTTTGAATGATAGGAAAAGTTGGAAAGGGATTTTCGTAGTCAAGATGCTGAAACTATGGATCCCTGTCCTCCCTGGGACTGTCCCCCGCTGTCTAACATAGGATCGAAGCAGTGGCTGAAGCCCATGTCCCAATACGCATATGAGGCTGAAGGAGAAATTGTGTGAATAGATGCTGACGGGTCTGCTAGTAGAATTTTGAAAAGTTTCTCAGAAACACATTCTTGGATGCCACTGGGTCATGCTATCCTGTCATTTCTTACGACGTTTCTTTATGACATGTGGTTTTCTCTTCCCATCCTGGGAGGCCAGGCCTGACTCCTCAGGTTTTAGGGGAGCAGAAGCTTTGCACCTGGAGACGGGCTACCTGGGGCAGGTGAACTGGTAGGAGCTGGCCCAGTCCCAGGGCTTATGTTCCTTTGGCCCCGCTGTTTCTGATTCCATAGGAGTCACTGGTGGTGTGAGCCAGCCCCTCATGTGCCAGCAGGGGCAGGTGTTCCCTCAAAGACTGTCACTCTACACGTGACTCTAGCGAGTGACCTGCGCCTGTCTGGCCTGGTCCAGAGGGGACTGGCAGACCACTCACTCGGTGTCCTGCCTGGGTGACTAGGTCTGTTCCTGTCCCTGTCACTGCTGGGTCAGCTGCCTCTTGTGAACCGTCGCCTTCATTATGCACCCAAGGCATTGCATGTCAGAGAGAGGGGTTGATAAGAAGCCCTGATCCCAAAGACAGTCTTCCTTTCCAAACACGCATAAAGATGTGCAGTTATAATCCCTAAATTGGGGAGGGAGGGGAAGTTGAAATTAACTTTATTTTAAATAAAATGCAAAGCAGAAGGATATAATGAGTGTGGAGTAGAAGTCACCTAATGTTGCTATAAACCAAAAAACCCATTGCTGCCCTAGGCTTTAATTAATATGTGAGTATCTTCTTATGTGCCTCTGCGCGCGCGCACGTGTGTGTATGTGTGTGTGTGTGTGTTTCTGAGAGAGAGTGAGAGAGAGAAATAAAGAGAGGAGAAGAGAGAGAGAGCCTAAATCCTGGTGACTGGCAATGTGGTTACATAGTGTGTGGCCCCCGTGGACCGTGATCTGCCCATAATTTAAGACCGCTCAGTCCGCCTCTGTGGAATGATTACCCTGCATCCTGCGCTGCAGCGGCTGCCCTGTCTGTGTGGATGCAGTGCCCTCAAAGGGGGAGAGACTTTGCGGCACCTGAGCCGGGGGCCTGTTGGTGCTTCGGGGTTGGCTCCAGGTCGTCTCCACTGTCAACAGGCCGACATGCAAAGTGAGAAGAAAGGCTTTAACGGGCTTGATTAATATTGAACCGACGCTGCCACCACACCTGAATAATTTTGTGGGGCTGCAGCGATATATTTACTATGCTTCGCAGGCCACCTGTCATGGGTCAATCTGCAATGGCGCTGGCCGGTAGAAAACAGCGGGCGGGTGTTTGGCCGCTTAATGCAGAGCTGGGAGAGGAGAACAGCCTCTGGGAGCCAACCCGCTGTCCCTTTGCCTTCTCGTCCTCAATATCTTTTTTATTTTTTGCATTCATGTTAATATTTATAGTTTCTTCAAGGAATAAATAGCCTTGTTTATAAGTACATCTTGCCCCTTGTTTTCATGTTTGAAGGGACCACTTCAGAATGAGGAGTAATTGACATTTCTAGAAAATGTTGTCAGTGTTTCGCCTATAACTCACTAGAGTTTTTCTATTAAAGCCTTTATATTCACTTTTATTATTATCTCTTTCTCCTGGCGTAAAACGTAATAAATGCATGCCAGCTTCATAGTAGCCTGTTACACATTAAATCTTATAGAAAGAATTCCTGAAATGTTTAGCAGTCCTTAGCCTTAGAACACAACCACAGTGCATATTTATGTTTCTAATTAAGACTACATATTACTGTGGTTTCTGTTTCCCATTATTTTCTTTGAGAGAAATAGAACATTTTTCTTCCATAATGGTACTTTGATACATACCTAAGCACAAAGTGAAAAAAATATATATTCACTTCTTAAACAGTTCCTTCTTCAGTAGTTTATAATAGCTCAAATATGCTGGGACGACACAAGGAATGAGCTGACTGCCACAGGATCCCGCTTTACCTTTTCGAAAATTAATTCATTAGAAAATTCCAACTTGACTTTATGCTGAGTCAGTAGGAGATAAACACATACATATGCAATTATGTGCTATTCTCATTCTCCCGCTCGCCCTTCCCCTTGCTCATTCCCCCATCCTCCTGTACTCCTCCCTACCCCACCCCACCCCCAGCATCCATCAAGAGCTCATGATAGACAAGGCAAGAGTGCAAGTGGACTCAACCAGCCCCCAATCTGGAGACCTTTCCCCAGTGCCCCGGACTGGAACCACCAACACCACCAAGTCACACCCTGACCGGCAGGACAAACCAGACCCTATTCCTCGTGCTCCCATAGTTTTTGCCCAGCCTAATACCTTGCTGCAGTTTAGGTTAAGGCCGTTCTAGGATGGGGCGGGATGGGATGGGGGCAGTAGGCTTCAGGAACCAGCAATAGCATGACGGCGTCTACCCTCTGTTTGCCTGACATTCAGTGCTCCCTGCTGTATCAGTGGAGGAATGGGGAGAACTGATGAATCGTGGGAGAAGGACTCTTCTTACAGACGTATTTATACCCAAACAGAAACGCCTCAACAAGACAGCCTTGTGTAAGGAAGACAGTTGACCTACTTCATTCCCCCTGGCAGGGCCCTCACCGTCTTTAACAACCCACAGTGGGCTCGTGGGATGTCCGGAGGTGACACAAGTGTCAGTTGAGTGGACAAAGCCCAGTCCTCAGAAGGAGATGCTCTGTTTATCCAGTCGTTGGTGATGAGTAATTATCCGTGCAACAACTCTGAGCACCGCACGGAAGCTGTACTCCCTTCGCCATCAGGCGAGGCCAAGGGCGTGGTATCTTTCTGCTGTGTCTGGACCCCTTTTCCTTGGTTCTGCTCCTCTCTCAGCTGTATCTCCCAGAAGGCAGCTCTGGGATGGCCGTGCTCAGCTCCGAGGCCTATCTTAGTACCATGCTCTCTCAAATTCCTTTTGGCAGGATGAAAACTACTTAATTAGGGCCCAACCGAAAAAGCATACGGATGCCATTATCACCTGCGTGGCTCCTTGGCCCCTTCTAGCCATCCCGTTTCCACTCTTGCATGGGCTCCAATGGCTCTTGATCTTCCCTAGAGTTGTAATTGATTGTCACTGTTAAGACTGACCTATCTCCAGCCTTCAGTAATGTTGTGTCCAGGGCTTCTTACGAAGCATTGACTTGCGTGAATTACATATCTGTGTTTCTGATTAATAAGAACAGTGCAATTACAAGTTGTTCTCAAATTAAATTGACATTAAAATATATATATATATATATATTTAATAAGTGCGTGTGTGTGTGTGTGTGTGTGTGTGTACGTGTGTGTGTGTGTGTACGTGTACGTACCTTTCCTTTGGTACTATTTAATGAATGTTGTTGTTTCCAGGGGAAAGTTTTCATTTACCGAGGGAAGGAGTATGAACGCCGGGAAGATTTCGAAGCTCGGCTGTTAACTCAGTTCCCAAACGCTGAGAAAATGAAGACAACGTCCCCACCAGGCGACGAAGTTAAAAACTCTCCCGGCCAGTGTATCCTTGAAGAGCGGCCTTATGGACTGTGGGGTGGTTAGACACCGTGCTTGTGGATGGCTGGGCGTAGGTTGGGGCAGCGTGTGGGATTGATGTCCTCACTGCCTTATTGTTCCTTAACCCCTTTCCTCTTCAGACATTCAGTGCTTCACAGTAAAACCCAAACTCGATTTGCCCCCTAAATTTCACAGGCCGGTTTCAGAGCAAATTGTCAGGTAAACACCTCATTTTTCTTACCCAACGAGAGGATGAGCAGTAGCTACGTATGGGTCTGTCACTAATAACTTCACTTTTAAAGGATGAATTTTAGCCCTTTGTTAGCTTTCTAGATGCTCTTTCCATCTACCTTGAAGAGCAAGGGAAGCGAATTATTTTTAGCGCCCAAAGAGGTGGAGGAAGGAGTTAATACCTGCGGCCAGGTGGTACGTGGGATACCCCTGTCCTGAAGTCGTTAGCCAGTGAGAACTCAGGAAGGAAGAGGCTCTCTAGTATCCTTACAGACCTACGGAGCTCTGTAGACTCCCCTGTAAACCAGCTGCCTTCGAGTCGACTGACTCATGGCGACCCCCAAGTGTCAGAGTAGAACTGTGTTTCGTAGTGTTTTCAATGACTGATCTTGCGGAAGTAGATCGCCAGGCCTTTCTTCTGAGGAACTTTTGAGTGGACTCAAACTTCCAACCTTTGGGTTAGCAACCAACTGCATTAACCATTTGCACCCCTCCCCCAGGGACTTCAGACCCCCTATAGGCCTTTTCTGTGGTGCACTAGTCCAGCCCTACCCCCAGCAACTCCAAGTCAGAACCTCTGAGGTGTGGCCTGAGCGTTCCTATTTAAAATGCAGTAAAAGGGACTTTGAAGAGCCCTGGTAGCACAGTGGTTAAGCACTCAGGGGCTAACCGAAAGGTCAATGGTTCAAACCCACCAGCTGCTCCTCAGGAGAAAGATGTGACAGTCTGCTTCCATAAAGAACACAGCATTGGAAACCCTATGGGGTGGTTCTACTCTGTCCTCTAGGGTCGCTATGAGTCAGAATTGACTCTACGGCACAGGGTTTAAAGGGGATTTGGATATTTCCTTCTGGAGAAGAGCTCTCCACCCCTACAGCAAGGCGAGGACATAATATGGGATTATGAGGGGGTTTCTAAAACTCACAAGCCAACTGTCCAAATTTGAGTGAGATTTTATGCCTCTTAATTTGACTGCATCTGACTTAGCAATGGTGGAAACATCTTCCTCCGGCAGATGTTTCTTTGATGCTGAGAATTTTCTTTTCTGTCTGATCCGTGTGCTGGGGAGCAACCTAACCTCTGCTGACCTGGTGTTCCTCAGGATCCGCTTGTTTAGCGTCCTGAAGTTCGGCGGTTTATGTTCTCACGCCATATTCACCGCTGTCTCTCTAACCTCTCGTCAGCCGTAATGGAAGGTAACCCAGAATCTGTTCATTTGTGAGAGGTTGCTTTTACACGTCATACATTTTAAGTTTTGCCACATTTTTTCCCCAGGGGCAAATAGTGACCCGTGGACTATGCTCAGATACGTCCCTTTGATGGGGGAGCTCACCCGCACGTCAGTGAGGACGGGGAATAAATCTCCCACACCAGCGACTGCTGTATCCTCCCCCAGGGAGGAAGGCTGGCTGTTTTTCCATTCACGCCTCTGTTTTGATGGCTGTAAAGTCTGCATTTTGCATATCTGAAACTAAAGCATATAAGACCTTAAAAAACCACAACAACAAGCGTCAATTGAGACTAAGGGCCTCTGCCCTTCGCTTCACCTTTTCTGTTTTTGCCCATTTCACTCTTACTCAGCATCTCTTCTCCCTGGAGGGCGGGCAGGGACCAGGCCGAGGCAAACACTCAGGTTAGTTTGTCCACCTGCCAACATCTCTCTTCCAAGGTTGGTGGGGAGAAGAGGCCTCGGCTATCGCCTCTGATCAAGGCTGAGGATATTTTATGGGTTGTGGTGACCTCTCCTGAGGCTCCACTGGACCCCACGTCCAAAAGCAAATCAGCTGCTTGCCGGCTGAATGTCTAACAACTTGTCTGTTTCTGTACAGTTTTTACAGGGTGAACGAGGTGCAGCGATTTGAATATTCTCGGCCGATCCGGAAAGGAGAGAAAAACCCAGACAATGAATTTGCGGTAAGTAAATAAATAATCAATCAATCCATCCTACTACCAACAACGAAACTGCCTGTGGGGAAGTGGGGACTCAGAAACGTCATCGCAGTGCAGAATGAAATGTCTTTATCTATTGATGTGCGGAAATCTAATGTCTTACTCCTTCAGGTTCAGTTAACTGTGAACATCTCACAAAGTCTGTCACTGAGGTATTGATGATTGATAACAAGGTGACAAGTGCTTTAAAGGGCCGGCTGCATCCGTGCGGGTCCCACCTTCCTTCCCTCCTGGGTGTGTCTGCATTGCCCGTCCTGGGAGCCCTGGGTACGGTGGCCGGTACGGTTACCTCTTGTTCCGTGTGCAGAGACGTCCCGTGGCTTTACTGCAGGTGATAAGGCAGGAGGTGAACAGGGCCCAGGACCCCGAGTCTCTGCCTCGCCCCTCAGGGCCTGGTGCCTGAACTTCACTGTAGCGGAGAGTCCTGTTTCTGGGCGGATGGTTTGTTCTGGGGCTGTTCTGTGCCCTGTAGGATGCCGAGCACCATCCCTGGCTTCTTCTCACTGGATGCCAGTAGCAACCCCCCATTTGACAACCAAAAATGTCCCTAGACATTGCCAAATGTTCCCCATTGAAAACCACTGCGTTATCGTAATGAAATATTAACAGGTTCTAGCTGCCGTTTTAAAAATAGACATCCACTGGCTTAATGGATTCCATCTGTATAAGACATCAAATAAAGCACAGTTTATAAAAAGTGAGTGTTTTCCCCCTCTTCCTGCCTGAAAACCTCCTTGGGAAAGCCCCGAGCGGGCCCACCTCTCGGGAGGCCTTCTCCCCTGGGCCCCTGAGGAGGACCAGCACCCCGGGAGAGGCAGCCCCCAGCCTGTGGGGTGGAGGCGTCTGGGTGCAGGAGTTCAAAAATGAATCAGCACCTGTGGGTCGGACCCTAGGGGAAGCTGAGAGCACTTCCAGCAGGGTTCCCTCAACTGAGCAAGGACTGCACCCACCCTCCCTGCAAAGTGCCCCGATTTCCTGCAGTCTTGGGATCCTCGGGCAATGCCGTGGAATCTCCTGTCACCGTCCTGGGAAGCAGCACCAGGAAGCTCCCGGCCTGCCCTGCGTCCAGCTTCCTTGTGCGTCAATGCAGAGTTTGTGTCAGGTAGACTGTAGCGTCCTTCTCCAGTTATGACCCTGACTCATGGGTACCCCGTGTGTGTCGGAGTAGAACGGTGCTCTGCAGGGTTTTCAGTGGCTGATTTTTCAGAAGCAGATCACCAGGACTTCCTTCCATGGCACCTGTCAGTTAGCAGCTGAGGTTAACTGTTTGCGCCACCCAGGAACTCCTCCATTCTTACATTCTGGTGATTTCCAGACCCAGACCCTATGTCTTGGTTATGCTGGCACCCTGGATCTATTTGGGGTGTTCTCTGTGGCGTTTTCTGTAATAGCAGGGGTTTGGAGGCAGCCTCGGCACCTCCAACCTGGACACCGACGCTAAGCGGTGTTTTCTGGTCAGCCTACACCTGTGACTGTCATTCCCACAGTAACACTGTCATTTACGTATGTCTCTTGGCTGTGGGGTTTATGAGCAGTTCTCATGTTTCCCTCGCCTCTCGCATCTGGAAGTACATATATTCTTATACTGTGAAGAAATAGACACAAAGAGGTCAAGCATGTTGCTGAAGGGTGCAGAGCCGATCGGGGGTAGAGCTAAGAATAGCCTGGACTCCTGACACGCGAGCCGTGGAGGCTGTGCTGCTTCTATATGACCCCAGATCCCCTCGTGGCCCCGTTAGGTCCTCACAAAGGGATGAGGCTTTCAGTTGCCAGCAGATTTAGTCCTTCACATGCTTGACAAAGCCGCGGGCTTCCAGATACGTGTCTGGGGATTTTATCCCCTAGCAGGGCCAGATTACCCAATAAGCAAGGTAGGCACAGGCTTAATTGTACTTACTTACTAATCTGTAGTGCACAATTTGAGCTGGTTTTCACCACATCAAAGATGTGGAATTGTGCACTACAGATTACTTAGTAAACACTGTTAAGCCAGTGCATACCATGCTTACTGGTTAATCCACCCCTGGCCCATGGTAGTGGGATGCTGGGCTCCAGCCCTTCTGTAGGGAGCCTGGCGTCAAAGGCAGGGGCTGGGAGACCGGCCCCACGCCAGGCCAGAAGCTTGGCGTGGCGGCTCGATGCCCCCGAACTCTGCAGAGGGTAAGGCTCTTGGATCGAATCAAGTGGTTTCTTCTGCACGGGCTTTAAGCACGCGCTGTTATTTTCATTGCTGCCAGTATTTTCATAGCTGCTGATTTTGTCAAATTTTCTGGTGTTTTAGCTACAGAATTGTGGTAATTCCTATTTGTGAACCTATAGCAATAACTTTTTTGAGAATGAAGTAGTAGTTAAAGGAAGAGAAGTGATGTATGGGAATTATGATTTACGAGTAACATTAGTACAAAAAAATGACCGAGGATTCTGTTTGTCTGGTACGAGAGGAGGTGTCGGGGGGGTAGTTACGGCACCCGGGTGACACCCACCCCAGTGACGCCACTGATCGCCAGGTCTTTTCTCCAGAGTAAATCTCCACTGGGACCAAACCTGTCAACCTGCTGTCATCCTTCTGCTGACAATGTGGTGTGTGCGTTTCCTTTGCAGAATATGTGGATTGAAAGAACCATATATACGACTGCATATAAACTGCCGGGGATTTTAAGGTGGTTCGAGGTCAAGTCCGTTTTCATGGTAAGCATGCCTCCTAGAAGGAAGAAGGAATTGTTCACTGCTCAGCCTTATGCAACCAGAAACACCCTACTCACCTGGACGGCCATCTGGTGCCCGCTGCAAGCTCCCGGGTCAGAGAGGACGTGACCGTCATCACCCTCTATGTTCCCCAGAACATCACCTCCTTCCACGAATGTTTCATTGGGAATGCTGTGTAATCCCAACCAATGCTAGCTCATGAGAAACCAGAGCCAAGATATCATTTCTCACAGAATATTTCATTTCAGTCATCTCTGTGATGTCTTGCCAGCTCTTTGGGTGAAGTCCATGAGAAGTCTCAGACAGCTTCTAATTTACATACACTTTCAAAGCTCTTTCTTACTGATAGTTTTTCCATTTACATGACAAAGGACTTAATTAATAGTACTTTGCTCATTTCGAGTAAAAATAGCTTGAGAATATACCCCTCTGCAGCATTGTTTTTTTTAAATAATGATTTGCATCTAATTAACTAAACTTTGCTTTGCCTCGGCGAGCTATGGGACTTTTGCATTTACGTGAGTCAGAATCGGGGACAGCAAATCCTTCTTCAGTCTGTGGAAATGTTAGGCTGCCGTGGCATTGCCAGTGTAAAGAGATCCAAATAGAAAGTGTAAGTTTTTGTTTGTGTGTCTTGATGGCTTTGTGTTCTTCTAGCACCACCTTGCCCGAAGTCGCGGTGCTTCCCCTTTAGCTGACAGTGAGTCCTCCCCGGAGCGCCTGGTTTGCTTCTAGGATGTGGCTTGAACCTCTCTTCCCAGCCTCGTAACCTTGCTCTGTTCTAGTCTCTCATGCTGGTTCAAACTCCGAGCCACTCCATGAGCGAGCCCCCGATTTGCCAAGCCTCACCACTCCGCGGGCTGAGATGGGTGCCACTTCCTTCCACTCTGAGCGCCTAGAGCTGTCTGTCTGCCCCTCTCTTGAGGCACTTTTCCTTCTTTCTTTCTTTCTTGTTTCTTTATTTTTGGTGAAAATATACATAACAAAACATAGACCCATTCAACGTGTTCTGCCTGGACAGTTCAGTGACATTGGTTACGTTCTTCGCATGGCGTCACCATTCTTTCTGTCTCGACCCGTGGTGTTTCACCACCGTTGACTTACACCCTCTGTCCCCTCAACGCTTCAGAGTGCTGGTTGTCAGCTGGATCTCGTACAGATAATGCTTTACAAGAGCCCACTGCTCAAGGTGACCAGTCTTTACTGCTGAGCTAAACTGTTGAAAGGTAACTTCATGGGATAGTTTCGGTTCCAGGCTTAAAGATGATCTCAGGGCAGTAGATTCGGGGGTTCCTCGTGGGGCACTTTTCACTTCTGCTCTGCCTTGTCTCTACCTTTGCCCCATTCCACACCCCCGTGGCTCCCAGACAGTGCGTGTCTCAGGGAAGTCTGTCAGGAGAAGCTCACCAAGTGGTAAAAATGCAACCCCTCGCTGGCCCGTGGGGAGGCTGTGATGTGCGTATAAGAGAAAGCAGGCCCTTCACACAGACAGGCGCTAATCCTCATAATGAGCTGCTTCCCATAAGCCTCTGTAATCAGGGATTCTCTGAGCCAGCCAGGCTGCGGGCTATAGGCGCTAATAGCTCGAGGAGGCGACTTGAGCCCTGGCCGTTTGTAAGGATGTAGTTCCCTAGAAGCCACACTTGCCTTTTTTCACGGACTAAGAAGGCTGGAAGCCAAATATTCCCAGAATGGCGTGACAGAGGTCCTCCTGTCAAAGCCCCCTCTGTGCCTTCTGGGACAGCCACTGTGGGTGTCCGCGGGGGCAGCAGCAGCCTTGTTTGTTTGATAAAGATAGGAGGCTGCTCTTTGTTAAGGCCAGTGAGGTGGACAAGGGTGAGTTAGCATCGGTCACATTGGAATACTAGTTGGCGTGTGTCCAGTTGGCGGAGTTGTGTGCCTGGGATAGAATGTTCTAGAACCTGACAAGGCACGGCAGTGTGTGAGAACATTTCTATGGTCCTGCTGTCAGGATGTGACAAGGAGGCTCCCGGCAGTGCACGCACAGCCCCGTGTTTGCACATTGCACCCTCCGCGGGGCAGTGTCCCCCTGGTGCAGACCCGCGTGGGCGAGCCGACAGCCTTGTCAGGACGCTCCCACACCTGGCTGAGGACTGTCAGCTAGGACCTAGCAGTTAGCAGCTGTCTGTTTATTCTGATCATCTCTGCTTTGCCACCTCCCTTCCCTGGCTTCTCAGAACGCCCCTCAAGCGAGAAGAAAGCGAGAGATTCTGCCTCCCCATTCCCAGGTCCCTGAGCTCCGGTGGGGCCACCAAGCTTCCTTTGGGGAGGTCAGAATTGTCATCCAGTGTTGAGGCCACCCCTGGGTGTGGTCGCTGTGGCCTTGCCTGCTAAGAGGTTGGGTCTGGGAGCCCGTGGCCTGGGTGGAGGCGTCGCTGCTGTTTTAGGCCCAGCCACACTCACATGCCCCCAGGGACTGAGCCAGGGAGGAAGGCGAGGCTGGGACCCTGCCAGGACCTGAGGGCCCAGAGGGGAGGGTGAGACTGGGACCCCACCAGGACCCGAGGGCCCAGAGGGGAAGTACAAGTGCAGGCGGGGTCAGGGTGCTAGGGACAGATGGGTGGGCCTCTTGCCCCTGCACAGAAGCACCCTACTGACGCATGCAGGCTTGCAGATGAGGCGTGAGGTCCTATTCAAGGATGTGGTGAGGGGGAGCCCTCCTTCCACAGCCCTGGGCTGAGACATAGGGCTCTCCCTCTGCCCCTCCCGGCCTGACAGGTGCAGCGTGCATTGCAGCATGTCCAGGCCATCTCTACCTCGAGATAGTGACAAGTTCCTCAAAATCCCCTAAAATCATAACCACCTTTAAAATAAGCAAAGAAAAAGTCTTGTTGTGAAGCAGATAGGGTGTGTCCAAGCCTTCTCTGCCCCACTCAGGGCCTTGTGTTTTCCTGGGATGACCACACACTTGTGTGCATGTATACACAGATGCACAAGTACTTATACACACACATGCAGGCACACATACACACTTGCGTGCACACATGTACACATGCACGTACGTGAATGCACATTCATACGTATATGCACACACACGCGCATACCTATGCACACACCCACCAGAGCTAGACGCCTTGCTGTCTCCGTTTAGTAACTGACACTTAGACCCCATCTCTAGGAGCGCTCACTGGTAATGAAACGTCTGGTCTTGGTCAGGCCCTAAGTGATCGCACCCCAGAAGTCTATTTGCAGAAAGGTGCATAGAGGAGTCAGTGGCCTCTCCAGCTCGCAGAGGTTTCTCCTTGGGAGCGGCTCTGGGAGCTGAGCGTCCCGGCGTGGAACAGCCTCAACGTGACCTCACGCTGCCCTCTCCTCCCTGCAGGTGGAAATCAGCCCCCTGGAGAACGCCATCGAGACGATGCAGCTGACCAACGACAAGATCCACAGCATGGTGCAGCAGCACCTGGACGACCCCAGCCTACCCATCAACCCGCTCTCCATGCTCCTGAACGGCATCGTGGACCCCGCCGTCATGGGCGGCTTCGCCAACTACGAAAAGGCACGTGGCGCACGCCGGCTGTCTTCACAGCCCAGCCCTGGGACAGACGGAGGATTCCACATGCTGTCCCAGAGTCCGGACACTCTCCCGGTCTTATGAGGGTTCATCCCAGAATGACGGAGCCTGCAGCCAAGGGGACCATAGCACCAGAGGCAGGCTGTGTGGGCGGCAGGGGTCCAGCCTGACGGGGCTCCGCTGGGCATCCTCAGGGAGCCAGAGGCCCCCCATTGCCCTCCATCCTCAGGCTGGGCTAGCAGGGCTCTGGAGAGCTGTCCTTGGTGCCTTTAAAGGGGCCTGGCGTCATTGAAGGCCAAAAGATACAGTGTTCGGTGTTTGAGAAAGACAAATGAGTGTGAATATTTAGGAAGAGCGAGGCTGGGCTGGGACGGGGAAGGGGCCAGGTCACCTCTGGAAAACAGCTCAGTAGGAACAGGCAGAAGTTGAAGCACATGGGTGTGGTGTAGACTAGGGGCCCCCAGTCGATGACTTGCCCCCTGTATTGTGAATAAAGTTTTCTTAGACACAGCCACACCCATTCGTTGAAGTATTGTAGAAGGCTGTTTTTCCAAAACGAGCCAAGTCGAGTACTTGAAGCAGACACCACGTGGCTCTTAAAGCTGAAATTATTTTACTTTGCTGACCCTGGTCTTATAAAAAAAACCAAGCATGCTGCCATCAAGTCAATTCTGACTCATAGCAACCCTATAGGACAGAGTAGAACTGCCTCATAGGTTTTCAAACTGCTGACCTTTTGGTCAGCAGCCGAGCTCTCAACCACTGTGCCACCCGGGCGCCACCCCTGATCTAGACAAAGTCGAAATGAAAGCAGAGGGCCCTGCGCGAGAGCAGGCTGCCAGGAGGCAGTAACGGCCGTCGGACAGGGGGACTTAGGGCTCTGTGGTCTTTGGGTGTAGGTCAGGCCTGGGGCAGACACAGGGTGGGATGACAGCACGCGGTTAGCCAGCATGGAGGACGTGTGAGCTGCCACTGGCTGAACCGAGTGGTCCAGGTCAACTGTGGCTTTGCTGGTCTCCAAGGATTGGGGTGCCACTGTGAGCACCCCTCTTGGCTGCCCGTTAACACCATTTACTGAGTTTGGCCCCACTGGAAGGTTTGCTGTGGGTCCAGGGGAGTGTGGGTGCTCCATCGCCGGGGCCTGGCACCCAGCAGGTGGGTGAGGGCTGAGCTGAGCATCTCTGTGCCCACAGGCCTTCTTCACGGAGCGCTACCTGCAGGAGCACCCAGAGAGCCACGAGAAGATCGAGAAGCTCAAGGACCTGATTGCCTGGCAGGTAATGTGTCTGAGGGCAGCCTTGCAGGGCTGGGGGCTTCGAGGAAGGCCGGCCCCAGCCAGGTCCACCTGGGCCCCTGAGCACACATCCCTGGCCTGCATGAGAGGCCCTGGACCCAGCCAAAGTGCACATGACCACATTTGTCCCTGGACACCCTCGCCCACCACTGAATGACCAACTCATTTTCTGGGCTGCAGTCCTGGATTCCAGCGCTCAGAACATCTTGTCTTGCATATGAGCAAGATCTCTTCTCTCGCTGTGGTCAGTTTACTGGCTGCTGGAGAACCTTCCTCCTGGTCTTGCTAGAACACAGCATCAGGGGCAAGCTTGGAGGTGGGAAGCCTTCGAGAACCTAGGGAGACTCACGCTGGGGCCTGTCCCGGGGCGTCCAGTGAGTGCAGTCCCTGGGAAAGGTGCCAGTCGAGAGCTGCAGGGCACCCACGCTTCCTGCTCTCCCTGGCTTTGGGGCAGGTGTGGTGTGGGTCCTCCCGGTAATTTGCTAGCTGTAATTCTGCATATGGTCTTGCTTTTCTGCTCACGCTCCTGTGACCTTCTGAGTGTTTGCTTAGAGGGACGGAGCCTTACAGTGGTGGGTAGCTCTGGTGGTGTCTTGTGTTTTGTTGTGAGAGTCTTGTTTGCATGTCCATGTTTCTTGGAACCTTCTAGAGCCTAGTGGGGCGGGGGCAGAGCCAGAGCCAGGCTGGCTGTCCAGGCCAGGTTCTCTGGGAGCTATGCTACACCCACTTGGCTACTTGGGGCGAGTCGCCGCTCTAGGCCCCGGTTTTCTCGTGTGTGAGGCAGGAGGGGTGGCCCGAGGTGTCCCCATTTCTCAGGTGCCAGGGTGAGTGAAGGAGCTGAGGGGGCAGCGGAGGGAAGGACCTCGAGTGCCTGGACTTCCTACCACAGGCCTGTGTCTAACCAGAGATGCTAGCAGCCACCGGGTGAGGCCTGTAGCCCTGTCTGCCTTATCCATGCCCAGGCTCACAGATGGCTGTCTCCTGAGGGAGAATCCTGGGGCATTCTTATTCTGGCTGCCCCAGGAGCCTCGTCTCAGCAGCTTTTCTGTCGTGAGCTCATTGGCAGATGAGACTTGTTAGGACAGAGCAAGGCTGAGCTTTGGATCTAAGCCGAATTACAGGTCCTCCTAATTTCTAGTCAGATGCACGTGACCAACTTGATTTTTATCATTCTAAGTCCTTAAAATATGGGGCACTTGCGGTTCAGTGGTAGAATTCTCACCTCCCATGCCGGAGACTGGGGTTCTATTCCCAGCCACCCTGGGGTTCTATTCCCAGGCACCTCAAGCACAGATACCTCCTGTCTATAAGTGGGGGCTTGCGTGTTGCTCTGATGCTGAACAGGTTTCAGCAGAGCTTCCAGACTAAGACAGACTAGGAAGAAAGGCCTGGCAACCTACCTCCAAAAATCACCCAGTGAAAACCCTATGGATCACAGTGGTCCAATTCATAACCAATTGTGGGCGTGATGCAGGATGGGGCAGCATTTTAGTCCATCGTTCACGAGGTCATCAGGAGTTGGGGCCAAAACAACAGCAGCTAACGACAGCATATGTGTTTTGTTTAAAAAACAAAAATTGTCTTAAAGGAGGAAAAAATTAGACTTTGCCACAAATCGGTATGCATTTGGAACGTTTGCTTTGGAATTGTTTTGTGATAAGAAACGTTCAGAGCTGACTGGAAGGCACCGTGTTGGTGAACCCTGGTTTCTTTGCATGTACATCTCATGTAGGCCACCTCCCTGTATTACAAAAAAAGGAGAGTTTAAAATTCAGAATGGGTTCACAGCAGATGTTATAGAAACTAAAGGGTACAAAACTCTAAACTCCTCTGAAGGCAGTACAGCCACTGCTACACAAAAACTAGTTTGGTCTGCAAAACTTGTATTGATTTTTGTTTTTTTCTGTAAGCTTTTACAGCAAATTGGATTTTAACAGTTTCACGTCCTACAGTGGAAAATAATTTGTTCCCCGGAGAGCAACTTTATGTCCATATTATGTCATCGCCCTAATAACTATATTAAAGGATGAATCTTCAAGCAGCTCACAGGAAAAGTTGAAAAGAATCCGTTTTCTAGTAATGTCATTACATCAAAGAGTGAGGAAGCACACGTATTCAAAACATTACCTACGCGTGTGCTTTCGTTGGCAAATGTTTTGAAAACCCATCTTTTAAGCAGCCGTAATTGAGTCATCTGTTCATGACAAATAACAAGTTTGGGGTTATCAGAATGCTTCGTTCTCTTTTGGTTTGTTGTTTGTGTGGTGCCAGGGCAGGGCGAGGTTTCCTTCTGGGAATTGCCACGACTTTTTTGTAGAGTTCCCATCACGGATGTACAATCAGCACAACTCTGCTGCTTAAAATCGTTGGTGAAGCCTGGTGAATAAGCTCAGCTTTGCTTGCTGTCTCTGAAATGGATGGCATGGATCTGCCTCCTGACCAGGAAAGAGGCTGCGGTCGAGGTGCAGGCTACGGGGAGCTTCCTCCTAGGTCTCCAGTTTGCATCTGACACCGGGTCACAAGTGACTGCCAGCTGTGACAATGCCACTGTAGGTGGCGCCCATGTAGGTGTTTGCTGTCCCCAGCTTCACCTACCAGCCCCTTCCCCAAAGGCACAGCTCCGTCTCCCCCGAATGCAGCTGTCGTTGCTGCACCTCCCGCCGAGTGTCCACAGATGACTCCACCCAGACTCTTCTTCTACTGCTGAGATGTATGCATATTTCTCTTCTGAAATGCACAAAGATGAAAGACCAGGCTCACGCATCATCCCCAGCTGATGACAGATGCCGTGTTGTCTCCTGGGGTGGTGCCCCTGCAGCCCTGAGCCCCACGTCCCAGTGCTCTGTGCCGCTGGCAGGGCATTGGTCTGTGTGGGGACAGGCAGGAGCACGGTCAGCAGCGCACCATCGAGGAGAAGAGCGACGCTGTTTAGTGCACACTCGCTGTGAACAGCCATCGATGTGGCTTCGGCCAGGCTCTCTCCACTCTCTGGGCTCTGAGAACCTCTAGAAATGCAGGATCCTGACATCCACCCTGGAGCAGATCAGGACCCTGGGGAGGGGCTCCGGAATCGGTTTCTAGAAGTTACACAAGAGATTTTGATGCTCAGCCAGGTTTGAACCCACTGAACTAAATGGTCTCCAAAAGCCATTTCAGCCCCAAGAGCTATAGCTTCTATTCGTGTATTAAAAGGAAAAAAAAACAAACCCGTTGCCATCGAGTCCATTTTGACTCATGGGGCCCCCCCATGATTTAGAGTAGAACTGCACTCCATAGGGTTTTCAGTGGCTATAATCTTATGTAAGTAGATCACCAGGGCTTTCTTCACTGCACCACTGGGTGAATTCAAACCACCAAGCTTTTGGTTAGTAGCAGAGAGCAAACCATTTGTGCCGCTTGTTGTTGTGAGGTGCCATCGGGTCAGTTGTGACTCATAGCGACCCTGTGTACAACAGAACAAAACACTGCCCAGTCCTGCGCCATCCTCACAATGTTTGAGCCCATTGTTGCAGCCACTGTGTCAATCCATCTCATTGAGGGTCTTCCTTTTTTTCACTGACCCTCCCTTTACCAAGCATAATGTCTTTCTCCAGGGTCTGGTCCCTCCTGATAACATGTCTAAAGTACGTGAGGCCATCTCACAATCCTCCCTTCTAAAGAGCAGTCTGGCTGTACTTCTTCCAAGACAGATTTGTTTGTTCTTTTGGCAGTCCACGGTATATTCAATATTCTTTGCCAACACCATAATTTAAAGGCATCAGTTCTTCTTTGGTCTTCCTTATTCATTGTCCAGCTTTCGTATGCATATGAGGTGATTGAAAATACCATGGCTTAGGTCAAGCCCACCTTGGTCCTCAAGATGACTTCTTTGCAGGGAATAAACGGCACAGGTATAGAACCTTCTAATGGAGAGGAAGGCGAGGCGATACCAAGTAAGGGTAGACTGCTTCAAACTTATAAAGATAAGGATAAAATTCATGGTAACCACAAAGAAAGTTAACAAACCAACTCATAAAAATAAAGACGAAAAGCATAAAGTCTCAGCAAAAACAAAACCTACA